CCTCTCCTCTCACCGTGAGTATGTTGTATTCGGAGGCAGGAAAAGCTTTCCTGGAGAACACCATGCCAGTTGTGGGGTTGATGGTGAATATCCCTTCCTCTTCCTCCTCGATGGTGTAGGTGATCTGGCTGTTCTGGCCCTGGTCACGGTCTGAAGCGATCAGCCTGTAGACTGGCAGCGGTGTCTCTGAGGCATCTCTCTCAGGGAGCTGCACCATGAAGAGCTTGTGGGGGAAACTGGGGGGACTGTCGTTGGCATCCAGGACTTGTATCACAACTCTGCTGGTGGACTTCAGGGCTGGCTCTCCGTTGTCAGAAACAGCCACCTGCCAGCAAGCAAAGAGAGTAGGTGACAGAGCTCTTTGTTGTGACCTAGGACATGAGCAGCCAGTCTTCATCCTGATGGGCAATGACTAAACTAGGGCTTTTGTATCTCAACATTTTCAGAGGCACTGCTCCTCTCTGCAGGGTAAAATCTGGTGGCTGTAGCTGGCCCTGTACGATGCTTGTGCATGCACAGGGAGATGCATCTGCAGGGCTCCTTCTTGCAATTGCTCAGGGCAGTGGGTCAGATTGGTCATTAGGGGTCACACAACTGAAAACATTTGTATAGCAATGGCTCGGCAAGTTATCACCCATCCTCACTTCGCTGTGCCTGTGCACGCTCCCAGCACGTTGCATTGCAGAGAGAAATGTATTATCCTCAATCACCCTCATAGACTGAAACACCTCAAGATCCCTCTAATGTAAATACACATAGCTTGGAGCAGCTACGGATGGGGGCCAGTAACACAAATCTACACAGCAATGTCTGATACAATGAGATAAATGAGGGTGGATTTCTCTGGCTTGCTCTTTCTTCCATAACTTATTATCCATCCTGCTAGAGGACAATTCCAGTCCTCTTCCTGCATTCCCACAGCTTCCAGAACAGGCCTTTTGCTCCAGTCTTTGGTAAGGAAATAATAAACCCTGCAGTACTGCTGCAGCTGTCTCTTAGGGCAACACACACCATTTAATTAAGTTTCCCAGCAGTTGGGAACTGATGGGATGAGATTCTTTCTCTGTGCTCCAACTTGCAAGGAAAGCTCTTTGAGGACTTAATACACTTGTAGGTAAATAAAGCTAATTACAATCATCATTACCCACCTCTAGGATATGTTCAGCCTTGTATTCTCGATCCAGCTGCCGTGAAGTTGTAGAAATCAGACCTGCCAAGAAAGAAGCCCTTTGAGCTCCAAGACTCAGCGTCCGAGGAAAGCCAGGGCTGATCAAATCCCCACATGCCCCACATCAGCCTGCCCGCCCGGCCTGTTTCAGGTTTCCTTTGTGATCAGAGGAGAAAGACAGATACCCCCAGAGGGCAAGTTGTCCACTTCCAGTGTGAATCCCTGTGCAGAGGTGCTGCTCTTACTCCTCTGATTACAGAGACCACGGAGGAGGGGGGACACCTACCAGATGCCTACCTCAGTTGAGGGCTGTCAAGGCATTCGGTGAGAAAGACTGCAGGACCGTGAAAACAAAACTTTTTCTTATGCTTCTAAGTAAGAAACATTCTGCATGTGCTGCCAAAATTTTGGCCTCTTAAGAAGTCTTGACTCCTATTTTGCCCATGCTGAACCTTGTTTTTCGTAATTTACAGTGTTTTGACAAAAGTTTGTCTTCTGTCTTGGGAAATGCCCTCTCTTCTACTGATAGAACAAATGCATTCAGGCTAAAAATAAGGTACACAGTTGATAATAATGTTGGTATATTATGTAAGCCTTGCTGAGAGACAGGATGAATCCTCTAACAATTGCAAGATTTGAGGGATTTCTAAAAAATACACACTAGTTTAACTGCAGGGAATAGGTCGGATGCAGGAGGGAGGAATTGAGGATATAATAAACAAGAGTTTAAACAAAATCATCATAATTGCCTATTTTTGGCTTGTCAGTGACTAAGCTGAGTAGATGCGAGTGTGGAAAGGATGGAGTTGAGGCTTGTGTTTCCACGTCTGATTTGATAATAGTCCTTATCAAGTGCCTTGACTATTCACCTTTGGGGAAAAGCACCTCTAGACCATTTTCACAACTGCTTTACAGATGATGGAAATTCTATATGTAATGCATGCTTTTCTGACAGTCATCAAGTCTGGCACCTGTGAGTGCTTTTGTCCCTTCCCCGCATCTCCCACTCCCAGTGGTCGCTGTTATCATGGTGTTTATTCCTCGCAAAGAGAAGTCCTGCTTCCTTGTACAAACAAAAGGCAGGGTGAATTTTCCTGACCACTGCAAGCAGTGATAGAGGCTCATGCTACTCTGGGAAATGCTTTGCATGGGAGGCAGTGTGCATTTGCAGCAGTGTGAGCATGTGCACTTGTGCACCCTGCAAGACTTGTAAATCAGAGTTGTGTGAACCCATCTCAACTCTGTTTCTGGTCCAAAGCCAAAAAATTTTAATTAACAGTATTGTTTTCAGTTGTATCATACTTTGGTGTATTGCTGTCTGAGCATGACAGGCAGGAGAAAATTTCAAATGGCTGCAGGAAACTCAGGGCAGCTGAAGAAGGGAGCAAGGAGCAGCTGCTTGGAACAAGACTATTGTTAACCGTTTCCACTTGTTCTCTGGGATTATCCGTATTTGGCATGAGCCACTGCACTAAACATTTATTTGATGCCTTTACAATCATAAATCAACACTCCTTAATGTGTTATGACAAGATGATTTGAAAGACTCTGTTTGCATGTATGTTGTGGATTTTTTTTCTTCTCCCTAATCTTCCTTTTGACATCTTGGCAGGTGAAGAGGGCTCAGCAGTGGCCTGAGAGCACACTGGCTGAGGAGCTTTTGAACCTCTCCCAGGCTTGTGGGAGGCTGTAGGGCTCCAATAGCAGCAAAACTCTTGATATGCATGGAAATGCTCTCTTAATGGGGGCCTACAGAAAGAGTTGCAGCAGCAGTTCACTGATGGTCCTGCCCACATTTCCAATAGGCTGGCTAAGACAAGGGAGAAAAGCCTAAAACTCCAACTACCTCAGGAGATGGTTCATAATTTTGGCCTAACAAGCCCATAGGGCAAATAGCTAGATACTGACAATGAGCCACCCAACACCTCTGTGCACACTGGGGATATTTCTAGTCTATCAGATTGCAAAATTCAGTTGCAACAGACTAATACCTTGTTTGCACTTGGTTACTGCATGCCAGCTGATGGAAGGTAACTTAAACCCCTCTGAAGTGATTATTTGGATTTGCCTGGCCACACCCTGAAATTCTTTCATGACCTAATGATAAAAATGAAAGAAAACAGGATCTCAGCTGAGCTTTCTAGAGCTGGAGAAGAAGGGCTGTAGTGAAGGCCAATTGTATGATATTCAACAAGGCTAAGCGCTGGGTCCTGCACTTGGGTCACAACAACCCCATGCAACACTACAGGCTTGGGGAAGAGTGGCTGGAAAGCTGCCCAGCAGAAAAGGACCTGGGGGTGTTGGCTGAACATGAGCCAGCAGTGTGCCCAGGTGGCCAAGAAGGCCAACAGCATCCTGGCTTGTATCAGGAATAGTGTGGCCAGCAGGAGCAGGGAAGTGATTGTACCCCTGTACTCGGCACTGGTGAGGCTGCACCTCGAATACTGTGTTCAGTTTTGGGCCCCTCAATACAAGAAAGACATTGAGGTGCCGGAGCGTGTCCAAAGAAGGGCAATGAAGCTGGTGAAGGGTCTGGAGCACAGGTCTTATGATGAGTAGCTGAGGGAACTGGGGTTGTTTCGCCTGGAGAAGAGAAGGCTGAAGGGAGACCTTATCACTCTCTACAACTACCTGAAAGGAGGTTGTAGTGAGGTGGGTGTTGGTCTCTTTTCCCAGGTAGTTAGTGATAGGACAAGAGGAAATGGCTTCAAGTTGTGCCAGGGGATGTTTAGATTAGATATCAGGAAAAATTTCTTCATGGAAATGGTTGTCAAGCAGTGGAACAGGCGGCTGCCCAGGAAAGTGGTTGAGTCACCATCCCTGGAGGTATTTAAAAGACGTGTAGATGTAGCACTTAGGGATATTGTTTAGTGGTGGACTTGGTAGTGTCAGATTAACGGTTGGACTTGATGATCTTAAAGGTCTTTTCCAACCTAAACAATTCTATGATTCTATCCTATGAAGGCAAATGAACTGGAACTTAACGACTGTCTTAAATGTCTGTACCACTGAAGATGCTCAGATCTCCTGTGGAGTAAAAGCTGATTCTACTCTCTGTCACAGACCTGTACCCTGGCTGGCAGTTTTACCAGATGGCATTTCTGGGTTTAGCTTCATATCTGTTGAGCCACAAGTCAAAGGGTTGGCTTCTCCTCCTGACCCCAGGCAAACTCCCTCTGTCCCTTACCCTGTGCCCAATCGTGGCTCCCAGTTCCCCTCACCAGAGCCAGTTACCACACTGCCTTGAGATCAGAAAGTCCTTGTGGTTAACGGTTAATCACTCTAATTCCCATACGGAGCCATGGTGCTGTGCGGCTGCCAAGATGCACAAACTGCCAGCAGTGTTCACACGGCAGCTGAGCACCCAGACACAGGGAGACGGGGATCAGACGTGGTGCTTGAGAGAAGCCAGCTGGAATTAATGCATATTTTTATTTGTTGCTACTTGGTTATACACCCTGTGAAGCCAGAGGGCTAAAATGGAAGTGGAAACTGGGAAACTGTTATTAAAGGGGAACTGCCGTCAGCTTTCATGGCCTGGGGAAACAGTTCCTCGGTTCTTTCTGCTGCCACTTACAAGGACCTGGGAAGTGCACATTTAGTTTTTAATGAGAATGTTTTGTGTGTGCCTGTGCACACGTGCAAGTTACCAGTGCAGTCCCTGCCCCTCTGGAAAACAGCAGCTAGCCCATCCCACGGGACTTGCGATCGAGTGGGTGTCCTTTATTTATGTTCTTGTATGTGGCCCTGAAGGTTTCTGCTGAGCCCTAGAGACTGAACAAAACTGTCAAAGGTCCTAATTGCACTTGGCCAATTAGCCAAGCTCTGCGTTCACCTGAAGGTCCAGAAGTTATCCCTTCTGTTGCTTTCATACAGACAGGCACAAGCTCTGCTCTTGCAGCCTATCCACACACAGCAATGGGAAAGGATTGTCTGTAATTCTCCCGCTTGCTGCCTGGAAAGGGGAGAGAGGAAAGCTGGTCGTGTTGGAACAGGAGCAGCAGAATTAACAGTGCATTGTTGTCAGGGAACAAAAAATAATAATAACTTCTGCTGGCAAGAGCAGGACTGGGGTGGAGGTTGCTGGCCCCCTGCCCTTGCTGCAGGGAAGAAAATCTAAGATAGTTAAAATAGCCAGAATCAGGTTTGCAGGCATTGGGGCTTTCACAAGAGCCTGAGAAGGGACGAGGTTGTTCTCCTGAAATCCTCTTTCTGTTGTCTCACTGTTGCTTCCATTTAACTTTCTCTTCTCTTCTCCTCCTACCACCTCCCCTCTTGTTCTGACCCTGCTTTGCTCTACTCCATGCTCAGCTGGAGCCTGTAGCATGTTGGTTCGAGTAGCAGCAGTGCAACTGACCCTCAGATTTAAAAAGCAGGCTGTGTCTGGATGTCCTTCCATGCAGAGAAATGCTGGGAACCACAGGCATCCTGGCTAAGCCTGTGGACACTGACACAGCAGGAGAAGGATCACAAGAACAAGCACTAGATAGCAGCTGGGGATGATTAGTCCAAGGTAAAAGGATTCTCCGAACAGCCTTTCAGCGGGATGATTGGCTTCTTCCTGACTCTTCCTGCCACAGCCTCCCAATTCTTGCTGGTTCTGCCTGGACTGGAACCCCCTTCACACCAGGCACTGCAAACCCTGCACAAAACAAGCTGAAAACCTTTCCAGCAAAAGAATACCCCAAACCCTAATATCTGCCTATCTCTCCATGTATCTATCTATCTCTCTGTCTCCCACAAACACTGCTCTGCACCAGCTGCCAGGCTGGGCTGGAGAGATTCCATTGCCGATGGCAGAAAGCTTTCATCTCACTGCGCAGTTTTATTCCCCCTTCTCATTAGCCTTTCGTTTCTTTTCCCTCTTTTTTTCTCCACCCTCTTTAGGGAGCTGAGAGCTGGAAGAGCTTAGAGCCCTTCTGTGGTAGTTCAGGGGTGCTGGAGGAGCCAAGCCCTGTCAAGGGACAGTTATCACAGCCATTCCTGTCTCCTTGCAAGGCCTCAGGAGGAGAAGTCAAGGTGTCTTGCTGGATATGTCTCCACTGGCCAACCCATCCCCATGTCAAGATACTGGATCAAACACAGAACAAGCTGGCTCCAGGATCAGAAATAGGTTACTTGCAATAGTGTGGCACTGTGCCCTGAATAAATTATCCAGGGCTGTTCTGCAGGGTTATTCCGGGTGTAGACATGTCTGTTCTAACAGTAAATCGGGACCTTAATTCCTATTAGCGCACAGGATGAGACCAAGCTTCCTCCTCTCCTCCTTCTGCCAAGGGGCTCCTACGAGGAGTGCCCTGTCTAGGGGAGACCCAGAGTGACCTCCGGCCCTCTCATGCTCCAACTTATTTCAGTGCCAATGTGACTTATTTGTTCTTTGATGACAGTATGGGATAGAAGAGAAGAGGTCTTGATCATAGTCTTCTCTGCATGTAGGAGCCTTCTTTCTCATCCAAGTGCTGGAGAAACTGCTGACACATGCAGATTATCCTGTCCTTTGCTCAAATCATGTGACTAAAAGCAGCAGCCTCTGTTGTTTCCTCTTGAAAGGTCAATGTTTATCATTGAATAATGTGACAGAGATTCAGCTTCATCATAGATAAGCAGCTCTGCCTACTGAAACTCTTTTACTGTCATAGGATTTGGGATTGACCACAGAAGGAGTATTGGCAGTCTGGATCATACAGATCTCTGGCATTTCAAGAACTGAAATATTTCTGCATCTTTTTGTGACCATTTCCTCCAGGTAGTGAAAGAAGAAATGCATTTATTGCATTTGAAAAACAAAGGACCTAACTAAAAATCCAGAATAAAGTTCAGTGGTCTAGTAGCGCTACTGTGGTCAGACACTTGCAGTGCTTTCTCTTTTCTCCTGTTCAAATGTAAGTAATTTGATTTGCATTGCACTGGGATAAGCCTTTTTTTGAATACAACCCTGCACTGATGTGAATGACCAGGAGCACTACCAGGCTGAGATCAAAGATTGTATTTTTATTCTACTTAATGGAGCAACTATCATGCCCTCATCTGCAGAATGAAAATATCACAGGGTTTCCAAAAAGCTGCCTACAGCCCTGAAATTTAGACGAGCTGTGATATTCCTTCTGGCAGTAGTAGTAGATAACTTCTCTTTAGATACTGTAAGCATGAGGATACAAACTGCTCAGTTTATGCCAATGTTTGCCAGTAATTATTTGTTCTTTTGGGTGATGTGCAAGTAAAACAACGGATAACTGAATCCTCATAAGGCTTGGAAGCAGGTCCTTAAACAACCTCCAAGCTCAGGGTTTAAAGAAGAGACCTCCAGCAACTGTCCAAGAGATAAGATCAGCTCATGAGTTTCTTACAGGACTGACAAACTTATCACTCTTCACATGCAAATTACCTGACTGTAGAGAGAGAGATTGATAGGAGATGACTCACAGCTGAGAGAGCTTTTTTTGTCTAATATGGGAATGAAAGGGTTGGCTTAGAGGTGAGGTGTCTTATTAGCAAATGTTCAGATTTTGCCAGTGTTGCTTGTTTTATCATAAAACACAGCAGCCTTGGAGCATGGCTTTGTAGGGCTGCACTCACACTGGGGTGGAAGTTTTGCCTGCAGCATAGAGAAGGCTGAATTTACTGCAGCGTGCATGGGTGTAATCTGGAGTTCAGCAGATGAGAGGGGCTAGCCTGGTGTTCTGATAGCTGTTTCTGGTTCACATCACATTGAAAAGGCAGTGGTCTTCTAAAACAGGGCCTCTGAAGGCACCTCTCCACAGAGATCAGCATTTGTGCAAGCTGTCCATGTGGGCTGAATTGTGCATAGTCATTTGGACTATATGGGTAAGCTGGATGCAGAGCAGTGCCCTGACCTGGCTAAAAAGCTTCTGAGAGCAGAGGGTACAACTGGGGGTAGCAGTGGTCAGAGTTAGCTGACATCTCCAAGTGTATCTACATGGTGCCAAGTAGACACCCTATGAATCTCTTGCAACAAGAAGGATTTCAGTGTTTCAGTATAACAATTTTTTTCTAAACACCCCCCTCCTAGCCAGCTGTAGAGGACTGCCAGATAGCTATTACACCACAGCTAACACCTAATTGAGAGCTGCACTGGCCTTTTTCAGTACATTCAGCTCCTTTCTCATCTGAGAGCAGGCTTCTGTCCCACTGCAGTAGGTGAACTGCTTTTATCATCCACAGGAGATCAAAGTCATGCAATTAATCCTCTCCCATACTCAGGCTCTGTGCCCTCCCTTCCCTCTTCTCCCAGGAGCTGATGGAGTGAAGGGCTCGGCATGGCTTTCCTTGCCAGACTGGCCCAATGTCAGCTCTGCTGGGATAGTTTGAGGAAGCTGTTTACACAAAACATCAGTGGGTTTTTGATGGCTCTGAAAGATCTGGTAATTAATCCTCAGATGAAAGATACAGTCTAGGAAGATGGCAGAAGAGGCTTACTACACTTACTACATTAATAGTGCCGGAGAACGGGTGGAGCCTTTAAATGCAGTGGGATTCATTTTTATTAATCCTGTCTTGGTCTGTCTCAGGAACAGATAGTCACCTCCAGAAAGGTGTTTCTTGGCTCAGGCTGTGCAATAGGGCAGTTGTGTGTAAGGGGAAAGATTAAAAGCAACTGCTTGGTTCTGATTAGGGCTTTGAAAGTAGCACATTTGTGTCATTCCAAGAGCCATCTGGATGCAAATAGCAACCCTCAGATTGAGGGTTTCAATCCTTAGCCTCCCCACACAGTGTATTTGGAGACAGGGAGTTTTGCTGCAGAAGGAAGGTGTGACAAAGGCAGCTGTGTGGGCTGTTTATATTGAATGTGTCACATCCTCTGGGCACTTGGAAGCCTCAAAAACAGATGCTGAGTTGGGTCAGTCTTACCTGTAATGAGGTTAATGGTGAAGAGTCCTTGAGGATTTCCAGTTAGGATGTGAAAAGTCAGTTTTCCCTCTGAGCTAGAGTCTGGATCTAAGGCATCAAGCTGAAGGACAGACGTGTTTGGTGGGGAATTCTCCATCACAGAGGCATAGAAGACAGGTCTGGACATCTGAGGTGGGTTGTCATTGGTATCAGTGACTTCAATATAAATTTCAGTCACAGAAGACAGAGGAATTGTTCCCAGGTCAAGAGCTAGCACTGTCAGCCAGTAGTGAGATGTTCCTTCTCGGTCAAGTGGTCCTATGGTCCGGATAGTGCCTAGAAGAATGACAGAAAGTGCTTGTGAGGGATTTAAGGAATTCAGACCACTTTGCCAGTTGAGTCTGTGTCTCTAGTCTGCTAGTCTGTCTCTGGTCTTTGCTGCAGATATAAACTGCGGCACCAACCTTGTATGGCTGTGAGATTGTGTGGAAGGTGAGGGCTTGCTTGTGCTGAGGGTAATTTGGTACACAAGTGAAAGGGAAGATCTCGGTATTTTGGGGGAGGACAGACATTGATTTTCCATTATTTTAAGGAGACAAACCCTGCTTGCTCCTCTGCAGATACAGGGATGCACATTGTACATCCCTGCACAAGCAAGAAAGATTTGAATACATGGAATTGTAAATAGAGAGAATATGGAAATGTCCTATTGGGTCAAAATGTCAGGCCAAACACAGCATGATGTAGCGCTTAGGGCCATGGTTCTGTGGTGGACTTGGCAATGCCAGGTTAACGGTTGGACTTGATGATCTTAAGGGTCTTTTCCAACCTAAATGATTCTATGATTCTATGTAGTTTAAGCCTTTAAGGTACACCATTAAACTAAGCTGTCATTACCTGTGTCCTTTTCAATGCGGAAGACAGACAAGCCAGTGCCCTCTCGGAGGAAATATTGAACCTCTCCATCTTTCCCCTTATCGATATCTTTTGCTGTGACCATCATCACTGATGTGCCCTCAGGGCTGTTCTCCTGCACCCAGCCTTTGAAGACAAAGGAGGCAAAGCGTGGTGGGTGCAAGTTCTCGTTGATATCAAGGATGTTCACTTCCAGGTGGCAGAGGGAAGAGCGAGAGAAGGGCTTCCCACTGTCACTGACCTGCACAGTTAGATTGTAAGAGTCCTTCTTCTCATAGTCCAGCTCCTTCTCCAACCGGAGTGCCCCGGTCAGCTTATCCACATGAAACATCATCTCCTCATCATTAATGAGGCTGTACCTCACCTCACCCCCAGAGCCAGCGTCTGGGTCAAAAGCCTCCAGAAACAGGAGAATGGTTCCCACAGGCAGGTCCTCTGGGATCTTCACACTGTTGACGGCTGGGAGGCATTGCGGGGTGTTGTCATTTACATCCTCCAGAGTCACAATGAGATCCGTGACAGAGAAGAGCTGGTAGCCTGTTTTGGGCTGGTCCCTAGCTTCTA